TAATTAACTCTATCGGGTCAAACCTACTCGGGTCGGATCGTCATGGGCGGATCAACCCAGTTTATGAACCCGTTTTCCAACAAAAAGATATAAGCAAACCCGTCATAGGCGTTAATAATCCCACCGGAAACCTTAGGGAAGTGGACTCACATAAACTTTTTATGTCGACAATTATTCTCTAGAAGTGAGGTTAATTTATATATGTCCTTCCCGCGACCATCATTGGTAATACAAATATATATGTATTTGTAGATTAGGTTAATTATAAAACATACTAACATAGTAGCTAGTGATCACACTTTGTCGTTGACGCATTACGTCGTTGTCAACCCAACGCTGTATTTTTAGTTTCTTGTTGCCAACCCTTTTTACGTTAAAACCAAGAGTTTGATTATTGAATGTATATATGTTTTCTTAATAATATTATGAACACACTCAAGAAACTCTTACAAACAGTTTCATTTTATAGAACCATATGAAGGATGCCTATTTCCCAACCTAATAGCTTTCAAAGATCAACTTTATGATAAATAGTAAATGAATAATTAAACAACTGGTAACTCCAAAGTTTCTAGTTTTGCCTAGTAAAGCCTCAAAAACCATGCACTAAATTTGACTCCTTCAATTGATGAAAATCAAAAAGAGGAAGCCTTGGGTTTACTCATGAGTGAAGAATTTGATTACCAAAAATTTGGTGTTTTCTCGTGAGATTTTTATGATCACTTACCTCCCCGATCACACATCAACTGCTCTCAACCTCAGCTCCCGAATCTCTTACTGACAACCGGTATAGGTGACCAAATAGAACACTAAGGTAATGATCAATTATTTGATACAAAAGGTACAAAATTGGCTCACCACGATGTGGCCCTTTAATCTGTCGTATCCAAGGTCCATATTTTCATATGTGTAGCGAAGAAAAAACAAAAACAGATTATATATTCAAAACACTCAATGAAAGCAATCGAAATGTTCTTAAATAGTAGCACACATTTAAGAACTAGAAGAAATAATTAATTAATTAGACCAAAATAATTAGGAGGATCAGTATACCTCGTAACCCTGATTGTGCAACTCTTCAAAGTACTCCCACCCATCCGCAAGAAGGAAAGCCTTTTCCTCCTACTCCTATCACCAATATGGAAAATAACCATATCACTGTATTGAAACCAGATTAACGAAAATTACTCTTGCCATAGCTTTCGCTAATGAATTATCATGGCAAACAAAAAAGGAAAAAGTGAATTAAGTAATCAAAACCTGGAATTTATACTTACGCTGCTGGGGCTACTGCTTGATCGGTCAAACTTCAATTGAGTTGAAATTATACCTTCGAATTAACATAACTGCCTAACCTATGAGAGTGCAGAGATGGCCATAATGAATCCAATCATAGCCAAGAAAGGTGAAGAATTGGTGCACAAACCCCGGTGTAAACATTCAGATATATGCCATATCTCCAACATGAAGCAGGGCTTTTTTCGAATTTCCGAAAGTCATCATCTTCAACCTCACAATTTTGAATTCGCTAGACAAAAGGGTCCATAGTCGAACTCCGATATCACAGTCACGTTCATAAAAGTGCATCATTCTCACAAAATCCACGGATCCTTGCCATTGATTTATCACCAAATTGGTTGAACCCAAAGAATAAAAGAAACCCAACGAATTTAAACGAAGCTTTGAATTTTTGCTTGAAACTGGTGTTATGATGGTCATCATCATGGATTCATGAGGGCTAAAGAGGAAAATTATTAAGGTCAATGACTTATACTGGAAAAAAAAAATAAAAGTTAAAAAATTAGGTAAAAGATAATTCGTAAAACAGCTAGAATAACCATGTTACATAACTTTTTTACCGATTAATGATCACCCAATAACACGATCACATGTGTTAATGAAGGCTATGATGGCCTCAATGAGCGACACATATCGCTTATCTTTCTTTCCTTTTATATATATATATATATATAATGATTCTAATTTCATCAAACAGAAATGAAATTGGGGAACAAAGCAATCTTGCACATTATTAATTTATTGAAATAGATTAGAAGGTACAAAAGATGAAAGTAGCCCATGACTACAACATGATATAATTGAGATTTCTTATTCGCGAAGTATAAGTAGTTCTTTGTAAAAACGTTAAACTCCTTTATTGTAAAAAAGATAAAAAGAAGAAATTAGACTGTTAATTGAATCCACAAAAAAGAATAAAATTGAAACAATTTTTTACATCAGGAATCAAATCAATTGAACATTTAATCGTCATAATAGCATTTTTCACTGTGTTAGAATCAAAATATGATTAGAACAAGAAGAAAAACCACCAAAAACGTAAATTTAAAAAAGTGGATATACAGTGTATTATATTATAAGGTTAAATGAAAATTCCTAAATATCAAAACATAAAATTTGATTTGGAAGTAGTGCTTGCCCCGTGCATTATTGTGCCGATACGGTAAAAAATAAACATAAAGGTGGTGTTAATAAATATAGTTATGCATGATATTTACGATTCGTTATTAATAAAAAAATGCTAATAAACATGACTTACAATTCATTAAAAATCCTAATAAAATAAAACAAATAATTTACAATTTATATATTATCATGCAAGATCAATATTTTCTTTTTTAAAAAATCCAATAGAATGGAAGTGGTATTAATAAATATGTTTTGGGAAGTAAAAGGAAAAAAAAAATTGTGTAACAATAATTCAACAAAGAGATTTGCTAATAATTTGCTAGGAACAGGGAGTTTTACATGATAAGACCACTGATTGAATATGAAAGTAGACCCGGTCTATAGGGAAAAAAATAAAATTGAAACAATTTTTAACATCAAGAATCAAATCAAAATTGAAATTGTGCAACCGAAAGAGACCGATTAATTCACCAGGCACTCTAGATAGTAGATACTATACCATTGCATTTTTTTCCCAAAAAGAAATGCATATTAAATCGAGCAGAAAATATCCAGACTAACATTCACTTTGTTAGAATCGAAATACGATGACTACAAGAAAACAAAAACAAAAAGAAAACGTTGTAAATTTCAAAGAGTCAATAGACAGTACATATTATAATAAATATTAAGGTCTATGAAAATTCTAAACTCTCTACTTCATCCCAATCTTATTTGGGGCATCCTCATTTGCTGAAATAATCAGCTGCAAAAGTAGGTATGCAATTAGTGTACATATGAGAATCACTGCAATGTAGTGATTAGTTAATAAATCATCGAACAACTGAAAACATTTAGCAACACTAATAATTCCTTTTAACAAAATTAATCATCAACTAATTAAGTGTAGAATTTGCCATTTTCTATCTTTTTTCCATGAAAAATTTTCATACTCCTAGTGCAAGAAATTGCCCTTGTCGTGCTCAACCCTTGCACACATTCGATGGATCAGTTAATAATCAAACTGTTAACAATGTCGCTTGTATTTGAGAAAATATATGAAATAGTAAAAATTTGTAAAATTAACTACCTTTGAGAAATGTAGACTTCCTATGGATGGGGGAACATTACTGTCTGCATCTAAATGTGTGACGTTTAGTCCTGTATACAACGAAAAAGAAAAAAATGTTACTTCTGACCTGTATCATCTATAGTTTAAATAAAATGTAGATTTTTCAAGAAAATTCAGAGGTTCTCAAATAATATAAAATTTGATAGTTGCTTAATGATCAACATGTCGAAATTTTTAAAGCACATCCAATGGTCGACATTTGCACAGAGTTCTATGAGTTTATTATTGAACTACAATAATAAGGTATTAAAAAGTAATAAAAAGTAACTACCCGATAGACATCGTCAGATGAAGAAATATTTATTTCTCACTTTTGGAATTAGGTATTAAAAAGTAACTACCCGATAGACATCGTCATATGTTACAGGAATACTGGAGTTTTTGCACCATAATGCCCGACGCTTGGTCCTGCATAGAAACCAAGAAATAAAACAAAAAAAAAAATCAAAAAAATGTTATGCAGTATAAAAAATTATACAGACATTTGAAATGAGAAATCCGAAATCAGAAATGAAATATAGCCACTTAGTAAAAAAGGACAATTTTGCTTCTGTAATGACAGGCCAGTTTCTTCAATCTAATGTCGAGCAATAAAAACCCAAATTCTTAGGAGGAAACTTCTGGTTTCATTTTCAAATAAAATAAAAAAAATCAAATAGAAAAGCACACTTGGTAAAACTGAACATTATGCTTGAAAAGATACTGGATAGCTAGCATAACATCATTCTCTATCCAAAATAAGAGTTTTGTTTATCAAACTAAAAAACCACAACTGCCGGAACACCTTTAAAGAAAGCCAGATGTGCCATATCTCGGCCTTCACATATTTCCTCCGTCAAGAGATTTTGATAAAACTGGACTGCCTTTGCCTCAATACCATTCCGATCATGAATCCAGACTCCCTCCTCCGATTGAATTTTATGAATTCCAATACGCGAGCTCCTTCCAGCAAGAGAAGCATGAAAGAATTTGGAATTTGAGTCACCATCTTTCAACCACTTCAAACGCATTTACTGATGCCAATAATCATCGTGTTCCTTGAGTCGTGTGAGAAGCACCACCTTCGCCTCATTGGGCTTAATCCGATTAGCATCTGACGGGTCCCCATCATAAACACTTTGAAGGCCTTGAACGTTAAGCTCCTCCTTTTTAACATTCTCAAAAACATCTCCAACTACAAACTTGTTCCATTCTTTTAAAACTCCCTTCAACCTTCTCAACTTCAAAGAAAAAGCTAACGTACCTGATGAATCTACGGGCTCTTCCCAACTTGTTTGTACTAGCTCCAAAAAATCAGAACGCCATAGCCACATATTTTGAAAACGTAATAATTTTGTCTTGCTTTCTAATTGAGGCGAGAATTGATGCAAAAGCGGGCAGTGATCGTATGTAGCTCTATTGAGATTTTCAACAGAAGAGATCGGAAAAAGACTCCCCCATTCACGTGATAGTAAAACTCGATCTAGCTTCTTACTAACCCAACCTGTCTGCCTTGTGCCTCTCCATGTAAACTCTTAACAGATGGAAACTCCAAAAGCTCACAATTAGCAATACTGTCATTAAACTCCTCAATAGCAGTGTGATCTTGAAGTGAAGAACCCGAGTACTCCTCCAAGGACCGAATCACATTGAAATCGCCAGCCACCATCCGAGGAACATCTCCATACCGCTGTTTAAAACTCATCAAGTTCGACCATAGCAACTGTCGCGCCTGCCTTGTTGATTTTGCATAAACAGCTGAGACAAAGAATGTGTCCAAGATAGAAGGATTATGAATCTCCATGTGAAGCACATATTCATTATCCTCCAAGACTGATACCGTATAATCATCTTGACAAAAAACCCATATCTTGCTCGTACAAGACGAAAACCCTTTATCAAAGGCTAACTATCTACGAATCTCATCAATTTTATGAATTGGCAACATAGGCTCTAATATTACTAAAAAGAAACTCTATGAAATCTTTTAAACACCTTCAAACGCCGTTGCGAGGCTTTACTTTTAACTCATCGTATATTCCAAATTATCTGACTAAACATTGGAAGACAATGTGGTTTCATTATTCGAGGAGATCGCCGCGGAACCAGCCCCTCCTGCAGCTTCAATCGTTCAGCTTTTGTTTTCCTTCCTTGTTTACCTTTTATGGTCAATTCTCCTTGCTCCGACTGTTCAACCAGAGCATCAGCTATTTCCCCCTCCGACCACCGACCAGTTCCAGCAATTGCTTCATCATCGGAATCCTCTTCTCGGCGGTTATCAACCTGAGCATCATCTTGAATCAATAGTTTCTCGATTGGATCCACCGGAATATTTTGCATCCCCTTCTCTACTAACGGTTTATCATTTAGTGCAGACACTTCCTTCCTCGGATTCATCAATGCTTCCTAGAGTAGACCTCTTCAATTTCTTCATCAGATTCCTCGATAACTTCCAAGACAGAAAACCTATTTGGTTGCATAGCCGCATCAGTTTCAGTCGCGACAGCGCGCTATTTTTGTTGCTGGGCAGTAGTGCTTTCATCACGATTAGTAGTGACAGCACGTTGGGATTCACAGTGCACTGCTTTTGTTCATGGTCTGTACCACTATCTTCAATGACAGCTCGATGTGTTTCAACAACGAGCTCTGTTTCTTCCTTATCCTTACAAGCTTCATCGCTAACAGCAGCAGCCGGAATGACCATCTCCGTTGCGGCCTCCTTCTGCACATCAATGGGTATCAATGACTTCTCAGTTGTAGTTATGCCTGAGGTGGAGACGACATTATCCGCCCGCTCCATAATCTTAACTCCTTCCTGAGGCTTCCATTTGACTTTTTGTGGCTTTATGACTAAGCTTTTTCCTGTCCCCCCTGTTTCAGATCTCTTCCCAGAATCATTGGCCTTAACCACAGGGAATGTCTGCAGAGCCAGACCTTTTTTACAATCTTCACGTTTATGACCAATTTTGCTGCACTTAGAGCAATACGAGGGAATATGCTCATAAGTAAAATATTGCTCATGCTTCCTCCCCTTCTTTCCAATTCGAATAAGCTTTGGAAGTTCCTTCATCAAATCTGCTTCTACACAGAATCTCGCTACAGAGGGCCTTGTCATGTTCAAGGTTGGTGCATCAACCTTGAGCGGCTTCCCGATAGCAGTCGCTATTGAAAATATAACCTCTGGATTAAGATATTTAACCGAGAGATCATACAAAGATACCCATATCAGTACAATTGGTGGATCTTCTTCATACTTAAACCCTAGAGTCCACTTCAACATACGCATCGAATACCCAGCAACGTTCCAAAAGGTCCAAATCCAACACTTCTGGTAGTCTTCTTCTCAATCAAATCGGATAAGGATGTGTCTAGGGTTCATTAACCCAATCGTGCAGGCGCCCTGAAACCCTATTTTGCAAAATTCCTTGTGAATTTCCTCCATCTTTGGCCTCCCATAGGAGAATTTCCCTACCATACTCAGACGATGTGGTGCAACGAGCCGTTCAAATTCGTCATCTTCAAATTCAAGCACTGGCGCTTCATCGACAAATTTTACTGGCTTGATGAGCGAGGGTTTACACCGCTCTAGCTCCACGGGCTGTTGAAAAAAGCTAGCAAAAGATTGAGGGGGTCCAGTGGGAACCCTCCCCCCCCTGTTGATCACCGGCCATGTTGGCCGCCGATCAGAGAGAGAGAAGCGAGGTCACGTTTAGGGTTTTATCAAGTGTGTCGAATAAGACATATTAGTTTTGAATACTAGGAAGGGAGCGAATTAGACACATACATTAAGTGTGTCTAATTAAACACTTTATCCAATCATATCCTTAATTATGGGGGTAGTTTTGGTCCTTTGGTTTCGCATCCCCGTTTTTGCTATGGCTGGGTTGTCATTCCAGTATACAGATTAGGAGTTTATTCTCATGTCGTCCCCACTTTTTCTCTATACTTGGTACCATTAAAGTTAGAGAGGCACATAAGAAGAGTTTCCAATTGCCAATTAGTAGGCAATTTCTTTGAGTTCTAGGTGGTTTAGCTTTTACATAAATTAAAAAGGTTAAGACGTGGGAGTTGTGTGGATGGATCTACTATGGATGGCATGAACTCGTAAATAAGCCCAGGAGAAGTAGGCTAAGTAGTCAGTGGAGGGATGTTGAAAAATGAAAAACCAACTCTTCATATTTGTGATACTGCTTATAGTGGTGCACTATCACAAATTGTAACCGGTGTCATGTAATTTCCAGCTCGGGTCCACCTCACTATCTTCCAAAATCAAGTAACTCTCTCATGTCGTATTCATCATCTGGAGACGTTGGCCTATTCTTCTCCTTTTTCACCTCATGGTTGTTTCTTTCATGTCTTTGGAGGCTGAAATTATTATTTGGCTCATACTTTGCGATGATGGTCACGAATATCTGTTTCTACTTCTTTTGATATCTCTAATGAATATACAGTTCAAATTTCAAATTAACTTCATTTTTAAAGTTGTAGATTTTCTTAGACATCCTACTCACAAAACTCACAAGGGCGACAGATTACATGGTGCATGCTGCAAACATGTTAACATTATTCATGTTTTGAATTTGTCCACTGTTATTAAAATCAATTGTAGAATATGGCTGAAAGTCTATCATTTTTTCAAAAAGAAATTCCCATAGATAAATTGGTTTTTACTCAAATTAATTTTTTTTTTCAAAAAAGTAGCTTTTTAAGAAAAATTGGTAAATTTCTTATCCTTAAATAAATCTTTTGACGATTTGTTAAAAAATAGGTTTTTGAAAAAAAGGAGAATTTGTCCACAGATATTTTTAAGGTGAAAGGATATTTTCATTATTAGGTACGTTTTTTTTTGTCATTTTTTTCCTCGGGGGGTCAATTATGTCGTTGACTGGTGGTCGGGGAGGGGGGGAGGGGAGTAATTGTCCTTATAGGATAGGTCGGAGTGGTATTAGTCTTTGGGACAACTAGGCAAGATTTTTGTCCTTTTCTCTAATAGGAAAATGAGAAGTATAGTGACTAATTTATAGTGAGAATAAATAGTGACTGAGTTGGCCCCTAAATTTGTTGTCACTTTGCCATTGAAATTATGTATTTCCCTGCAAAATTACACTTTTACCCTTAAATAGTATAGCTACATAAGTCGCTATGAGTTTCACTATAGTTTTTCACTGGTTGTATCATTGATACAGTAGTCCTTGTATACATTCATTCATTCAATACTATTCTAATTTGGTGTCACGAGCACCTTTCTCGATCCTCTTCTCTTCAGTCATGAGGATCCCTTCTGATCTTTCTTCTTACTCCACCTCATGTCACTAATGCCTATCACCTCGTCGGTACTTGCCACACATCTCTCTCTCTCTCTCTCTCTCCTGTCTTCATCATTCATTCTCCGTCAAACTTCAATTGCTTGTGAACTACATCGCATGGAAACTTCAATTTCCTTCTCTTCTCAAACATGATTAATCTTTTTCTGTTGTTGATAGATGTGAATGATGTGTCATTGGGAGTCATTCCCAACCATGATGGTCATATTATTTTATTTGATCATGTAATGGATTATTGACATCTTGTTGACATTGGTATGAAAGATGATAATCCAGCAAGGTTCGATCGACTAATCCATCAGCCTATTCCGGTAGACGACAAAATTTTAAGTTTTAAATATTTTTTAAAATCTTTTTTGGAATTATTATATTTAATAAAAATTTTCCCTTTTCTGTAATTTGTGGCCGGCCCTAATACTCTCTCTTTAGGACAAAAGTCAGCCACCAAGTTGAGATGACTTTTGATGAATTTTATAAAATGAAAACAAGAAAGGATTTCTTTGTTCTTAAGCGTTTAGTGGTTAACTTGGCTTGTTCGAATCTATAAATTTGCACTTGTAACAATCATGTTGTTGAGTCGGGTATTCTCAATTGATGAAGATTTGTTAGTCATTTCATAGGAGAATCATCAATTCGTTTTTGTCATAAATATTAAGGTATGGTTCATCATTCCTAATGTATCCATCATTTTTTGTACGAACTTTTTGTGGGCCCAATTTTTTTGCAAGAAATCCAAGTCTTTGATTGCTTCCGCGTCTTCATAGGCAATTTAAATATCATTTGGAACCCCAACTCTTTTGTTCTTTGGATATTTTTGCGTGTTTTGTGTCAAGTTAATTAGTCAAAGCTCATCTTTGAATAATTTTCATTGTGGCTTGACGTGGTTTTATTTTTTTTTTCAAAAAATTCTTGCTTGTTTTTCTTTCTAGCTATTTGGCCATAATCTATGCTTGTGGAGTTCCAATATGAAAATTAAAAAAAAAAAACAATTATCAGAAAATTATGAAGCCGACTTTGTCGTCGACCTAAGGAGGTGGACAGATTGATCAACCGAACCTTAATTGATTTTTTTTCTTTTTATTTTCGACTTCAACCTTCCATTATCTTTCATACCAAATTTGAAAAACTAAAATAAAAGGAGAGGAAAGGTAGGCGGAGAGATTATCTCTTTATATGTATGTGAGATCGTCCCAGATAAGGGAGAGACTACCTCTTTATCAAGAGGTAGTGATACCACATTAGGAAGCTCCTACTATGAGTAGGTTTAGTCGTTGACCTATTCTAAGTGATCCAATTAACCCATATTTATCTACCCAAATATTCTAGAATATTCATGATCTATCAAGAGGCTTGCTAAAAAGAATGATACATGTGCAATTTGCCTCTATTTGTTCTAGCAAAATTATGAATTAATAACGTACCACAATTAATTCTTTTTCTTGTCCCAAAATGATCAAATAAAGAATTGAAAGGAAAAAAAAATGCGGCTTACATCATCTTTACATAGACAAATTAATGGGCAGCTAACATTAATATCGAGATGGGGATAAGATGTAGGTGTGGGTAAACATCACAAATACTCTTTTTTTTCAATTAAAATATTCCTCATTAATTCATAGGTTGTCATCAATTTCACTTAAATCACATGTTCATGGTCAAATAGGTAAGCTGTCAAAAGCTTGACTCTACAAAGGGAGAGTCAAGAGTAGTCAAAAGTCAAAAGTCAACCTTAAGCAGTACCCCGGCACCCCGACTAAAAGTCTCCATCTCCATCACTTTTGGAGGAAGAATTGTCATATTCGTCAGGAACCAGCATCGGCCCAAGGTTGTTTTTCTGCATGTAGTTCACCATTAGCATGGAAATGTTGAATTCCATGGGAGAGTGAGGGCCAAAATGGGTTGACTTCACATACCTGCCAGTATACATGCCGGATTCACTGGCCCTCATTAGATGATTGCATTCCTACTCAGTAGTGATGTTTTCTCCAGCCTGAGTAATCATTACTGTTGCACCCCTAAAACAGGATCCAATAGCGCAAAACTCTCTCGGCGTAGATTTTCCAGTGTAGTCAACAAAATGAATCTCGGCCTTTTGTTCACCATTTGAGAATTCTACTATAATAAAATCCACATCAATTTCAAGCTCAAACTTGAACCACCACCAGGAATAGGAATTCGCATAAGTACATTATCACGCAGCCTACTCTTAAGAAATTGCAAGGCAGCTGAGACATTATCGATTTGATATCATCCATCTCCTATATGATCTTGCGCCAATTTTATACGGTACCAGTGAAACCAAGAACGAGCCGATTGGCCAGTCTGTTAAATTTCACTAGATTCTTGTTTACAATCTAATCTTCCATTATGCCACGATCGTCAGAGGTGATGGCAATCCGTACTTGGTTGTTCACGCGATACTTCATACAAGCAAAAGTGGTTCTTGTCTTGAGGAGTGGGCGACGGCTTCTTTTTAAGATGCGGCGGGCCATCATAAATACTCTTGTTACACATCCAAAGTGATTATTCAAATTGGTCTATCTATTATTATTATGCAAGATTCCTTTATTTTTTTTTCCATTGCCCTTGTAATTTTAGAAATTAATATTTATCACACTCTTTCATATGAAATTAAACATGTAAAAGACTTGGATGAAAAAGAAACTATTACAATGGCCAGTTTGTTGTTGCTGACATCAGATCCAAAAAAAAATTGGGGAGCCAAAGAAACTCACATGTTTGCAACAACATCAGATATCCATATTTCATGACGGTCAACGTTATTTTCAATTATTTTTATTCATGATTCTCATAATAGAAGGAGTATAAGGTAGTGGAAGGTTTTTCTTTCCCCCTTAGATCACACTTCCTTCAACGTTTTAATCAATGTATTTTTCTTGATGTATTTGAATTTCCACAGGGACATTTTCTTAGAATTCTTTTTGTTTAGGATGAA